GGAGAGAAACACACACAATACAAATATATATATATACACACACACACACACACACACACACTCACACAGGTTTGTTTTTGTGAAAAGTGGGGACATCCCATAGGCGTAATGGTTTTTATACTGTACAAACTGTATATTCTATTGCCCTACACCAACCCTACCCCTAAACCTACCCCTCACAGGAAACTTTGTGCTATTTCAGATTTTCAATACACTCCATTCTGTGTGATTTACAAGAATTATGTAATATAATATAAGAATTATGCAATATAACCTCAAAACTTCAAAATGAGCACATCAATGCAAGACAAGAAAACAGAGAAAGAACTATTTTTGCTGAAGAACAGCAGAAGATGTGACTCCTCAGATCTGCTGAAGTGCAGCAGCATTAAAAGACCAAACAGGAGCACCCATCAAATGAAACATCAACAGATGCCTCTCCTCTCTTTAAGAGAGCAGTTTACAAGCTTAAACCAGAGCAGATCTCAGTGCAGACACATGCACGAGCCTCAGAGTGCATCTGCAGTGCTTAGAGAATACTTAGAGAATCATAGATTATCTCAGAATTATACAGATTATCATAGTGGGATTAATGCTAGAAAACCTGACAGTGGTGTTTTAAAATGTGTTTGAGTAAAAACCGGAATAGAGAAAAGAACAAAAGAGGCTATTGGTAAAGATGGTGCAAAATAACTGAATGCTCTGGCTGTTGTTAGTGTGTACAGGTCATTTCACTAAATCTCTTTCACACTGACCACAACCAGAAGTCATTTATTTTCAATGAGAGCTGGCAAAAGTTAGACCTTGTGCAAATAAGCAGTGACTACTAAAGGAAATTAAGAAATTGGAGCACTGTGAGCAATTCACTGTTGTATACGATTTGTCTTCACCCACATAAAGCGATGTTAAAAAATGATGCATGGAAAACCACGCCGGCATTCTGATTCGTTTGATTCATTCATTGATAGTCGTTCATCTTGCTCATGATGTGATGTATTGTGCGCTGCTGCGATTTATATACAAACGCTTTGCCCTGCAGGTTGTTCATTTTTAGCAGCAAGAAAACTGAATCATTGTCAAAATGACATCTTATTTGAAATGACAATACATCTAATTTGAGATAATTTGCTCGCCAGTAATGTTACGTAATCTAGCAGCAGGGACGCTTACTAGTGACCAACCTGGCAACATTCAGTGCACTGAATGGGGTGGGTAATAAACTCAACTTGACTTTCCATCGGTAGTATTGGTGCTTTTGTCCAAGCTAACCGAGAATGTTCTCAAAACGTTGGCTAACAAGTTATAAATGAACCAGTAGCGTTAACAGAATGTTCAATAAAAGATATCTATAACCCTGAAAAACGTTATTTATACATCGTTCACAGAATGTTTTTCTTCCAAATGGGTTTAGTTTGACGTTCATCTAATGAGTTTCAAATGTTACTATTTTTTCTGAATGTTCAGGGAACATTCAAAAGTAATGTTCCCTTAATGTTTGCAAAAGGATAAAATGGATTCAATAAAATGGTCATTCTCATTACCAATTTTTTTTTTAAAACTGGACATTTTGAACATTCAGAGAACATTCTGAAAAAACTTAGTGAGAATGTTAGCAAAATGTTCTTGTTTATATTTTTATTGACTGGTTATGCATATACTTTCCAGACCTAATCATCCATGTCCCTCAGTTTTTATAAATTACTTTCTTTTATCAGTGAAGTGAACATAGAGTGAATTTTATATCATTGTTCTACTTTAGTTTGACTGGATGTTCAGTTTTCATGTCTCAAGGTGCTTCAGTCTTTCAAAATGTTTCAATCTAAACACGTTTTCTTTGCAAATATTGTTATATTTGATATACTCATATAATTTAATAATTTTGTGTGTGCGTGTGTCCTTAATATCATTTTACACCCTGTTAGTCTTTAGTAAAATCCCTTTAACTAACAAAAGCCAGTTTCTCAATGACATCATCCAACAGGAAGTGACGTCATTTTGGAGGGAAATCAGCTGCACAAACATTAGTATTATCAATGGGTTTGGGATGCTATGATGTTTTGTGATGTTTGGTTTATGTCTCTCTAAAATGCCCTATCCAATCCAAAAATATGTTATTAAATATAAACATTTGAAAAGATGGATATTAACTTCAAGTGGACATCAATAATCAAAATCTAATTGAATATATTAATAACAAGAGACCCTTTTATCTCTTCACATGTGCATGTTTTCCCCCCTATTTTAATTTTGCATACAATTTTTTTTAAAAATACAAACAAAATTTAAAATGTCTGTCTACAAACATGTATGTATGTATTTATTTATACATACTAGTCAGGATTATGTGACTCTCACAGCATCAGAGTAATTTTCAGTCATCTGCTGCTCGTATTAAGTTTGGTATCTTGAAATAGATCTCTAAATAGACTTCATTTTCTCCTGGCAAATTAATGTGACAGTGCAAAGTATGTTTCTCATTTCAGATCTGAATGTGAGTTTGCAGTGGATTGTTTAGAGGCTTTTTCTAAGTTCACCCTCCAATGAATTCATATTAAATCCAAAGGTGCTGCTGCTTCTTCAGATCTAGCAGTACTTATTAAAGCTTTGTTATATTAATGTTAACCAGCATTAAAGTACTGATAATAGATTTTAGAAAAACTGCATCACCTAAAACAGCAGCCTAGAACTAGATATTTGGCTACTGGTTAACATTAACCAACAGTCGACAAGAAAATCATTTCAGAAGCATTTATATTTTGAAAAAACAAGCACAAACAAGATTGCATTCACAGTATAAGACCGGAAATGTCTTAGGTCAGTTTGGATTTCTCGACTTTAACAGTTGGATTGTGTATTAGTTCAGCTGTTTTTAATGGTTTAGAGTTATAACAAGCCCTGTAGCAGGTCACGGTTTGGCTGGTTAGTATTGGTTACTACACCATTTGGCTGTAGTAAAAGCATCTTTATCCATTCAGGAGTCATGTATTCTGATGAAATAAATCATAATGATTTTTGTCAAACATACAGAGTAACTGTGATTGGATGGCCATCTCCTGCAGTGCTGCTGTTCTCCAGTGGGAGGAGCTTCAGCAGATCTCCAGCTGTCAATCAAACGGATGGATGCTGGTGTTCATAGAGGTTTGAGATGTTATGTCATGCTTCAGTTCACTCAAGTAGACCAGAGATACTAACATAAAGAACCAAAGTGACTGTGACACTATCACGGTTACACAAAACCACTGCAGCAGATTCAGCTGAGAGTCACTATAAAACAGACCGGGGCTAGTTGTCACAAGGGGAATATTGAATTGCACAATGCTTGTTTTCTCCATCAGTGGTTTTGTGTGTTCGTTTCAAACATCTAGAATAATATTTGTGAATTCTCACAACTTTAGTTTCAGACTGGGACAAGTTTTCACATGCATTTTAACTGCTGTAATTGTAGTAAGTGGCTTTCTGGGCTTTTTTTTGTAGTTACGTTTTCCATTTTTGCATGTTCATGAATTGTTTCACCATTGTTTTACTGTCTAAATTCTACTGCAAAGCCTTTTTTTTTCTTTTTAGCAGCATCATATGACCCCTTTAAATCCAAAGGTGCTGCTGCTTCTTCAGATCTAGCAGTACTTATTAAAGCTTTATTATATTAATGTTAACCAGCATTAAAGTACTGATAATAGATTTGAGAAAAACTGCATCACCTAAAACAGCAGCCTAGAACTAGATATTTGGCTACTGGTTAACATTAACCAACAGTCGACAAGAAAATCATTTCAGAAGCATTTATATTTTGAAAAAACAAGCACAAACAAGATTGCATTCACAGTATAAGACCGGAAATGTCTTAGGTCAGTTTGGATTTCTCGACTTTAACAGTTGGATTGTGTATTAGTTCAGCTGTTTTTAATGGTTTAGAGTTATAACAAGCCCTGTAGCAGGTCACGGTTTGGCTGGTTAGTATTGGTTACTACACCATTTGGCTGTAGTAAAAGCATCTTTATCCATTCAGGAGTCATGTATTCTGATGAAATAAATCATAATGATTTTTGTCAAACATACAGAGTAACTGTGATTGGATGGCCGTCTCCTGCAGTGCTGCTGTTCTCCAGTGGGAGGAGCTTCTGCAGATCTCCAGCTGTCAATCAAACGGATGGACGCTGGTGTTCATAGAGGTTTGAGATGTTATGTCATGCTTCAGTTCACTCAAGTAGACCAGAGATACTAACATAAAGAACCAAAGTGACTGTGACACTATCACGGTTACACAAAACCACTGCAGCAGATTCAGCTGAGAGTCACTATAAAACAGACCGGGGCTAGTTGTCACAAGGGGAATATTGAATTGCACAATGCTTGTTTTCTCCATCAGTGGTTTTGTGTGTTCGTTTCAAACATCTAGAATAATATTTGTGAATTCTCACAACTTTAGTTTCAGACTGGGACAAGTTTTCACATGCATTTTAACTGCTGTAATTGTAGTAAGTGGCTTTCTGGGCTTTTTTTTGTAGTTACGTTTTCCATTTTTGCATGTTCATGAATTGTTTCACCATTGTTTTACTGTCTAAATTCTACTGCAAAGCCTTTAATAGGCTATTTAAGGGCAGGTTTGCATTGTGACAACTTACCCCATATAGTGTGACAACATGCCCCATTATTGTTTGTATATTTTTTGCAGGCAGTGATGTTAAAAATTTGCAGTAGTTTTGTTTTGGTCAGTACAGAAATGCTTTATTCAAGCAAAAAATGTGACAACTAGCCCCGGTCTCCCAATTATATACCTCTAACTTGGTTTTATTTGAGTTTGAAAGATTGATTAAAGTTGATTAGTCCAGAGTTTTGCTTTAAATATTCATATTTGTTGTTTTGTGAACTGTCAGCTTTTTCAAGAAGCACAGCTTATAAAAAGACATTTTCACAGGCATGTGGATTTCTCTAATTAGCTGTCAGTGTTTTTCTGAAGGCAAACAGACACATCACAGCATGAATGGTAATTGCTGTTTGTTCTACAGAGCAAATAGTTTTACATACATCTGCACAGCAAACAACACCAGATCAGCAGAAGAACACTTACTTCCAAATATCAGTCTATGAACCATTTAATACATTGACTGTTTTTCTTGTACATAATGAGTGTGTTTAATGTGCGTGTGCTGTACATTTCTGCAGTATGCTTGCATGCATCATTCTATTAGAGGAACAGTCCCTCAAAAATGAAGAATTATTATTTTGTAACCCTCGTGTTGAGCAGAAGAGAGCTGTGAGTGTTAGCCTCAGTTAGGGCTGCACGATTAATTGAAAATAAATCACAGTATGGCTTAGAGTGATTATCAAGGTTGTAATTTAATGTTTAACGTTTGAAAATGAAGATCTTAAGACAGCCAGAAATATTAGCACTATAAAATTAAATTATTATTATTATCATTATTGTATTTTTATTTTAGTGAAATATTACAATAATAGTATTGTAGTATTTCATAAAATTAAAATATAACAATAATAATGAAATATTACAATAGTAATATCCTAATAATAATAATAATAATAACAACAGTTGTTATTATTATTATTATTATTAGTAGTAGTAGTAATATATTTTTCTAAAATGTGACCCTGGAGCACTAAACCAGTCATAAGTAGCACGGGTATATTTGTAGCAGTAGTCAGTAATACATTGTATGGGTCAAAATTATAGATATTTTGTAAATTTCCTACCGTAAATATTATATAAATTCTTTTATATATTATTATTATTCTTTTCTTATATTTATTCTTATATCTTATTATGTATAAAGAAATTAAGTTCAAGAAAGTTCAAGAAATTGACACTTATGTCCAGGGTCACAAATACTAAATCTTTTTATATTACAGTAAAATGTTGCAATGGTAATATTAAAATATAATATAACATCCCAATGCTAATATTTTTAAACTTATTAACAACTATAATAATAGTAGTTGAAATATTACAATAGTAATATTTTTATCTTATTATATTTTTTAAAATACTAGATCTTTTTATGCTATTTTAGTTTTTAATATGCTGTTTTCATATTCTAATAATAATAATAAAAACATTTTTTTGTGTTTGTATGTTTTTCCCAAACCGTGCAGCCCTACTGTGAGTGTGTGTTTGTGTATGTATTTGTATGTTTGTGTATGTGTGAGAATGTGTTTGTGTACGTGTGCATGCTTGTGTGTGTGTGTGTATGTGTGTGTTTGTGTGTGCATGCGTGTGTGTGTGTGCTTTTGTGTGTGTATGCATGTGTGCATGCATGCGAAAGTGACGTGACATATGGCCAAGTATGCATTTTCGCTCTTTGCGTTCGTCTCGTCTCGGTCCGCAAACACGCGGTTGTGTTTCCACGCTGCGTTGCGTCTGGGCTGCGGCGGCTTGTCCACCACACACAAACCCAGCTTAAATGCCGCCTGGAATCCGCGCCGGAAGTTCTCGTTGAAGTAGCCATAAACAATAGGATTGACGCTGCTGTTGAAGAAGGCCAGCCAGTGAGCGAACGGGAAGACATAGACGGCCACCAGATCCAGCTGAGCGGCCGAAAGATTTCCGTAATCCGTCAGCATCATGAGGATCCAGAGCGGAAGCCAGGACACGGCGAAGAGCAGCGCCACCATCAGGAGCATGTTTACCACGCGCAGCTTGCGGCGGAAGACGGGCGGCTTGACCAGCCTGACCGCGATGCGCGAGTACATGATGAAGATGAGCGAGACCGGACTTGCTGTCTATGGGAGGGTTAGAGAGCTCTCGGGTTTAATAAAAAATATCTTTATTTGTGTTCCAAAGATGAACGAAGGTTTAGAACGACATGAGGGTGAGTAATTAATGACAGAACTTTCATTTTTGGGTGAACTATCCCTTTAAAATTATGACCACAAAATTGAAATGATGACATAAATAGTCGAAATTATGACTCAAAATCATACAGTCATAGTTATAAAATAGACAAATTTATCAAAGTCAAAGTGATGAGATTAAAAAAATCTAATTATGACAAAAAACTGAATTATAAATTTAAAAAGATCTAAATTATGACAAAAAGTCATAACTATGAGGGAAAAAGTCAAACTGAAGATATACTAAATCAAAATTATGAGATTACATTTTTTGTTAATTATGACAAAATAATTTGTCATAATTTTGAAAAATGAAATAAAAATTATGAGATTAAAAAAATGAACATTCTGAAATAAATAGATTGAAATTATGAGATTTAGAAGTCAAAATTATGGCCACAAAATTAAAAATGATGACACAAAAAGTCAAAAATATGACTCAAAATCATACAGTCATAGTTATAAAATAGTCAAATTTATGAGATTTCAAAATGATGAGATTAAAAAAATTCTAAATTATGACAAAAACTGAATTATAACTTTAAAAAGATCAAAATTATGATAGAAAACTCATAATTATGAGGGGAAAATCAAAATGTATATATACTGTCAAAATTCAGAGATTAAAAAAATAAATTATAACAAAATGTCATAATTTTGAAAAATAAAATAAAATTAAAAATTAAAAATTAATAAAATTCTGAAATAAATAAATCAAAATTATGAGATTAAAAAGTAAAAAGTATGACAAAATGTTAATATTTTAGGAAATGAAAAAATCTAAATTATTACAAAAAATGTGATTATGATATATAAAAAAGTCCAAATTATGCCCAAAAAAATAAATTATGAGATTTAAAAAAAAATCAAAATTATGACAGTCATAATTGAGAAAAATTCAAAATTATGAAATACTAAATCAAAATTATACAGTTGATATTATGAGATAAAAATGAAAAAATTACATAATATGTCATAATTATTCAATAAAACGTCACATTTATGAGAATAGAAAGTTGAAATTATTACATAAATCGAACATGGCCAGAACTTCAGAAGTATATAACAAACCATAGGGTCAAATATGCAAATATAGTCTCAAATACAGCAACTTCATTGGCTGCTGTGCATGTTGTTGCATCAACACAGATAAACGGTCAAATTTCACGCATTCCATTTAACCCTTTCCCTCAGTGTTTTTTTTTTTTTTTTTTATTTGTCCGCCACCCGTAGTATCTCTGTATTTTCTGCGTTTTTCCATTTTAAAGACTTTTGTCCCCGTCTGCCTTCCATACTTCTCTATAGCACAGTTTAACCAGACCTCGCCCCATTTTTTTTGCCATGGGTGGGAATTAAACAAACAGTGCTGCCAGTTTAGCAATTTTGTTGTTAAATTTAACAACTTTTTCTTCCAGAAGCACCTACAACAAATTGAGCTATTTTAAAAATTTATTTGGCAACTTTTAGCAACTTTTGGTAAGTGACTCAAACGATGAAAAAGGCATGCATTTACCATTTAAATTATACAAAAAGAGGAAACCAATAATAATTATTATTTAATAATAATAATAATAATATTGTATAATTGTGCATTATGATACACCTTGTTATTTTTGCTTTTACCTGTGATTGTTGATCAGTTAGTACACTGCAACCTATCTAAAAATGGAAAAGGTACTAGTAATTTTCCAGGACATTATCTGTTATAACCCGAAAACACAAAATACAATGCGTAATTAAAACTAACAACTAATACACTGCGTAAAAGTATAATTGTTCAGAATGTGTAGTTTTACATGTTTACTGGGTAATTAAAAAAACAAACAAATTGTTATCGTTCAAAAAAAGTGTACGTTTTCAATAATTCAATGTGTTTAAAAATAGTTATTTATATTTTAATATTATATTATGCATTAATATTATTTTACGAACAAATCTTAATGAACATATATAAAATATATTTTTGATGTAGTGACAATTTTGCGTCGTGATTATGTAATGACGTTATTGCGCAACGACATTTAGCAACAAATCAACCTTCCTTTAGCAACTTCCTTTGACAATTTGTGACGTCACAATATCCGGAAGAAGCGCGCTGTGGTCTGAATGATCCGTTTGTTGCAGTTCTTGAAAAGTGTTTTCTGTTAATTAAAGAGAATATCTCCCTTTGGAGCGGACTTGTAACCTTGCAGATCTTTTTCATGCTCAAACGGCAACATTGCACACTAACTAAAGTCAAAAAAGTGAAAAAGCATAATAGGACCCTTTTAAAGCACCTCAGAGATTTGAGTTCTTCCTCAAAAGCGCTGAATTATTGCAACCTACTGTAGCGCCTAAGAATCAAGCTGATAGATTGATTACGTGGTCCGAATGATCCGTTTGTTGCAGTTCTTGAAAAGTGTTTTCTGTTAATTAAAGAGAATATCTCCCTTTGGAGCGGACTTGTAACCTTGCAGATCTTTTTCATGCTCAAACGGCAACATTGCACACTAACTAAAGTCAAAAAAGTGAAAAAGCATAATAGGACCCTTTTAAAGCACCTCAGAGATTTGAGTTCTTCCTCAAAAGCGCTGAATTATTGCAACCTACTGTAGCGCCTAAGAATCAAGCTGATAGATTGATTACAAAAGCTGAGTGCACACTGACTCATGCGGGTCGAGGAGAGCCAGCGGTCTGTTTCAAACCTGGCAATTTCTGCTTTTGTGTGCAACATGTTCAGACGTGTGCCGTCTAAGGACGAGACGCAGCTCCAGTCCCTATAAATGACTGCTTTGTTAAATACAAACCAATGTGACATAACGTGTGAAGCAGGGGCGTAGATTTTCACAGAAAACAGAAACATGAAACAGAAACATGAAACTATCAACATACGATTGCGACAATATATGGTTTATTTGTGTTTGTCAAGTCATCTCCAGGTAATAAATAAAGTATATGAACAATGCAGTGCTAACTGACATAGCATTTATTACAGTATTGAAACTATTCTGCCTTATTATGTGATAAAAAAAAAGTGTTTGTAGTATATAAACAAATCATTATTATTGGTCACTGTCCAGCAGTGTGTGTGTGTGTGTGTGTGTGAGAGAGTGTGTGTGTGTGTGTGTGTGTGTGTGAGTGTGTGTGTGTGTGTGTGTGTCATGTTTCTCAGAAGGAAGAACGGCGCTCTCATTGACACCGCTATCATCTTCTACTGAATGGTGCTTTTAAGATCTGTTTCGACTTGCTTTCTTTTGTGGAACACAAAGGGATTTTTCATGTTCATCTGTTGTTCTTTTCCAAACAATACAAGCACATTGTAACCACGTCTGTCAACGACCAGACAGAAGCCTTATAGCAGCTGTTCATTTTCTTCTGAAGTCAGTGAGAACTGAATGTTTTTGCCGAATCAAAAAAAAAAATGCATTGGTAAACCATAATTATCAGATGAAAAAAATCAAAACGATGACATTAAAAATAGAACATTTTGAAAATGTTAATGTCTTACCATTAAATAAAAAGTCGAAATTGTGTTTAAAAAGTCAGATTAAAAAATTAAAATTATGACAAAAAGTTGCAATTATGAGACAAATGTGGAAATTATGGCATACCAAGTCATAAAAGGCTGAAATTATCTTTAAAAACCAACATAACATCACAATCTTTAAATACAAAGTCAAAGTTAAATATTTGAAAAGTCAAAATTATGGCAAAAATAGAAATGATGAGATTAAAAGGCCAAAAATATAACAAAAAGTCATAATTATGAGGAAAAAGTGAAAATTACAACATACTAGGTCAAAATTATGATATACAAAGTCTAAAAAAGCTGTAGCAATGCCACAATTATTAATAAAAGGTGAAAATTCTGGTATTGAAAAATCAAAATTATGCCAAAAAATTGAAATTCTTGAAAAAATCAAATGACAACAAATCATAATTATGTTGAAAAAAGTGAAAAGTATGACAAGGTTGAAATGATCAAAAAGCAATAAACATAAAATATCACAGTTATTAAAGTCAAAACGGTAAATTAAAAAACTGAAACTGAAAAGTCAGTATTATGACAAAAAGTCATAATTATGAGAAAAAAGTCTCAGTTATGACATACCAATTCATAATGATTAATTTTAAGATAAAAAAATCATGTCAAAATGAAGTCATTAGAAGTTAAATGTTCACCTGTTGTTCTTTTCCAAACAAGACCAGCACATTGTGAACACGTCTGTCAGCAACCAGAAGCTTAATTAGTTCATATGTGAGCTGAGTGTTTTTTGAGAGAGTCATGAGGGTTTGGAAGGACCTACGGGTGAGTAAATGTTGACAGAATGATCATTTTTTGGGCTCAGTTATTAACTGAAGTCACAGTGTGATTGAGCAGAGCTGGTTTTGCGGATGTCAGGTGTTTGTATTCATGTGAAGTGCAGGAGGGGGAGAGTTATTAACCTTTCCACTGCGATGGCCACCAGCGTGAAGACAGACGCCGAGACTGAAGCTCCCTGCACGAGTCCACTCATTTTACAGATGAGCACATCAAACGGCCAGCCTGAGAGAGAGAGAGAGAGAGAGAGACAGAGAGGGAGACAGAGAGAGAGAGAGAGAGAGACAGAGAGAGAGAGAGAGAGAGAGAGAGGGAGAGAGAGAGCAAGAGAGAGAGAGAGAGAG